GTGTGTACGTGTGTCTGCAAGTGTCTGCACGTGTCTGTGTGTGTACGTGTGTCTGCAGGTGTCTGCACGTGTCTGTGTACGTGTGTCTGCAGGTGTCTGCACGTGTATGTGTCTGTGTGTACGTGTGTCTGCAGGTGTCTGCATGTGTCTGTGTGTGTACGTGTGTCTGCAGGTGACTGCACACGTATGTGTCTGTGTATGTGTGTCTGCAGGTGCCTACACATGTATGTGTGTGTACGTGTGTCTGCAGGTGTCTGCACGCGTGTGTGTCTGTGTGTGGATGTGTGTCTGTGGATGTGTGTCTGCAGGTGTCAGCACGTGTATGTGTCTGCGTGTGCATGTGTGCTTTTGCAGGCATCTTTGCATGTCTATGTCTGCACATGCTGCTTCTGTCTATGCATGCGCTCCTATGTATGCATGAACTTGCTTGTCTGTGCATTTATGCGTGTGTTTGCGTGGGTGCTGGAGGAAAGGATTGGGTGGGACCCTCCAGCCTCTGGGCTTCTCTTCTACCCTAGAGAGCAAGGGGTGCCAGGCCAAGGCCTGTCCTCTGCACTGAGGGCCTCAGCAGGTGCACGTTGGTTTATTTGGTGCAGAATACAGGCAGCAGGCACGGGACAAGCTCCATCCCCAAAGAAGGACGGTGCCCCCACCGCTTCATCCCCTCCACCCTGCGTTATGTAGGGAGCTGCTCTAGACTCCATTGGAAGTTTGTTGGCGGAGGGGAAGAGAGGAGGGAGTGGAAGAAGAATTACAAAAGAGACTGAAGTCAAGTTTATTTTATTTGTCATTTGCGTTCATTTGGGCCTAGAACATGTTTATTTTGGAATGCCAATTTAGTTCGCAACACCTGTTGTTCATTGATTAATTAGTTGCTTTAGGTACTAATGCAGCCTCTATTTTTTTTTAAAGACAGAGTTTGGCTCTTGTTGCCCAGGCCGGAGTGCAGCGGCACGATCTCAGCTCACCGCAACCTCCACCTCCCAAGTTCAAGCAATTATCCTGCCTCAGCCTCCCAAGTAGCTGGGATTACAGGCATGTACCACCATGCCCAGCTAATTTTTGTATTTTTAGTAGAGATATGGTTTCACCACATTGGCCAGGCTGGTATTGAACTCCTGACCTCAAGTGATCTGCCCACTTCAGCCTCCCAAAGTGCTAGGATTACAGCACTATTTTTTTTTTTGAAAGGAAGGTCAGAGGAAGAAAAGAGGATGGAAGAGGGACACTAGAAAACCGTGACAGAGATGTCAGTTAGTCCCACCCCCACCGCTCTGTCAAAAGCTGGAGGGATTCAGGGGAGTTTCCCTCCCATCCCTAACCCTCAGCCTCCGTGTTCCAATCAGCTGTGGGTCACTTCCCTCCCATCCCTAACCCTCAGCCTCCGTGTTCCAATCAGCTGTGGGTCACTTCCCTCCCATCCCTAACCCTCAGTCTCCGTGTTCCAATCAGCTGTGGGTCACGTGGCTGTTACCTAGTGAGGAAAGGGTACCTTCTTCTGCCCGCTTCCCCACCACACGTGCAGACTCACTGTGGGGTAGGGTCAGGAAGCCCTCAGCCCACCCTCAGGTCACACCCAGCCGTCCAGCAGTGTTCTCAGTGGGGCACAGAGGGGTGACAGATGCTGGGGGAGCCCCTGCCTGCTTGTCTCCTGCCCCGCCTCCTGGTTGTCACCTCCACGGTGGCCTTGGCTGAGCTGGAACATGGCAACTCCCACCAGGAGAACCAGGTAAAATCACCA